TGGTAATTGCAGAATGTTTTCAAGAACTGCTCTATCTCCTAGTTTATCTATTCCATCTCTCTATCTGTTTGAGAGTGATAAGCTATGCTAGGCACTGTAATGATGCCCAGTTATTTCCACAGTTTCCATATGAATTTTGCCATGAACTGGGGTTCATAGTCTGATACTATCTTGGTTAGTAACCCATGCCTATTAAAAATATTGTTTTGGAAGAAGGTGATTATTTCTTCTACTATAATAGTTTTCTTGCATGGAGTAATGATTATTCTTTTGATAGTCTTTGGTTGACCACCATATTGATTGAGTCAAACCCTTTGCTCTTGGGTAGGTCTGTGACAAAATCTATGAAAATAAAATGCTATGGTGTGTTAGTAGTTTCTAGGGGGTGACTGAGTAGTCACATTCAATGTGTTAGATTCTTTGTGGATTGGCATATAGTGCATCCATCCACGTAGTCATAGATGAACTTGGTCATGTTTTGCCACCAGTAGTGTTGCTGTACCAATTCTAAGGTCTTTGCTCCACTGAGGTATTCTGTGGCTAGTATGTTATGGTGTAATTTGACAATAATTCTCTGAATGGAGTTGTCTTTCAGAACACATATGTATTCATTTTACCTGGTAATTCACTCCAAGTGTGTCCACTTTCCTAAATCTCTTTTCACTGCTTGGGGTCCATCCTATAGTAACTTAGTGAGGACCATGTCTGTTAGTGTATCATATTCTAAACATGACTATCAAATAAGGGAGATAAGGTCTGAAGAGATGATTTCTGTAGATTTGACATGCATTGTTTGGTCCAGTTCTACCAATGTTTTGCTTAAGTCATTGAAAAGTTTGGCTGGGAGTAAAATTTGAGCCTTGTTGTCAGATTCCACCTCCTTACTTAAATCTGGACACTTAGACAGAGCATTTGAATAGTTGGTTGATCTGGCCTTGTAACTAGGTGTAAAGTCAAATCTGCTCAAGTAAAGGCTCTAATAGGCATGTCTTTATAATAAATCATGGGCCATTTGGAAATGTTTCAGGTTTTTGTGGTCTATTTAGATCTCAAAAGGATATTGAGCTCCTTTGAGGTAGTGGTTCTAGTGCTCCAGAGCTTTGATGATAGTAAATAATTTACAGTCATAGATATTATAATTTTATTTTGCTGGTGAGAATAAGCTAGAAAGATATGCTACTGGATACCAGTTACTGTCCATGCCTTTCTGTGGGGGCATGGTTCCATAGGCAATCAGTAATGTGTCTGTCCATTTGGAAAACCACCCCCTTGTATTAGCTCTGGATTATATCCAATAGTGTCTAAAAGTATCTAAAAGCGTTAATAGCATCTAAAAGTGTCTAATATCCTAATTGGGAGTAACACATTGTGAGTATTACATTGGTTTCTAATCTTATAATATTAGCACTAATTCCATACCAAGAAGTCTTTAATTAGCAGTAGGAAATAGTAAGTACTACTGTTCTATCAGTGAGAAGGTAAAGATATAGCACATTCTATACTGTTTCAGCATATTACTCTCCTTTATATATGCCTACACTATTATCTTGTAGCTCTTTTGCTGACTTTCCAGCTACCTTTACAAGGGACATGGAAAGAGAGGAATGTGCATTGATGCCCTCAGCCACTTTGTTGGTAGCTTGGCAGCTGCGACAAGAGGCTATGAAGACCTCAGTACCTTGGCCTTGCACACAAGATCATTAAAGTTGTCATTGTTAGCCAATGCCTGCTACTGGTCAATATAGAACACAATATGCAGGTTGGGCTTAGAGATGTGCTATATGTAGCCTTGTAGACCTTGTCTATTGATGCAGTGGTCAATGCTGTCTTGTACAGCACACAATTGTCATTACTATTAATATTATAATTTTCAGCACCATCCACATTGTTCACTGCCTTGTTATATAGGAGATGCTTAAACTTGATGTTTTTCTCTAGCTATTAGGCTGTGGAAAAGACAGTCATTTTGGTATGTAATGCCAAAATGATATATTTGCCTGTTATATAGGAAATATGTGCACCAAGTATATTAAGATTATTTCTAACAATCTTGTGCTTATTTATACATAGGCATGCCATACATATACCCTTGTTCCCACCCTCCACCTTATTAGTGGCCATTTGGAAAACCCCCCTTTCTTATTGGATCTGAATTATTGATAATCATTGATGATACTAATTTGATTTAAATATGGCTAATTATTCATAACTATGTTTTTGATCAAATTTGCAAATTAAGGTAGCATTGTCTATACTAGTAGAGTCCCATTGAATATTATACTCAATCATAGTTTTACACATTCTAAATCTAAATTGTGTAAGTGCCACAATTTGTTTTCACCCTATATAAAGTGTATTATTTATTTTTCATTAGTTTATTATCTTCTTAGCTGGTGTTTAAACTATATCCTGAAAGACCTGACTTTTCAGGTATTTATTGGCCTGTTTATTTATTAGATAGAGGAAAGATAAATGTTGAATAAAATCAGAGATGTTGAGGTTGCCTATATTATATCTACTTATTTAGATTACCAAGTTAATATATTAGACCTTGTAACTTAGTGGCTTAGAGCACCTGTCCTAGGTACTTATATACATGAGGTTATTGGTTCAACTCTGGCAAAAGGCAAGTTTGTTATAAGGTGTATTATGTGTTTAGGTATTCAACTAGTGCTCTAATGAACACGGCTCTATAAGAAGGCTATGAGAACTGTGATGCTTGATTTATTACTATTTTTCCGAAATTTCAAGTTATAATCAATCCTAATAATTCCTAATTTAGGAAAATTATGTCTAATCCTAATCTTTCATAATTGAGTATAGCAAAGCATCAATTATAGCTAATTAGAGATTAATACAAGGGGGTAGTTTTCCAGATGTCACAAGTCTGTAGGGGTGTATTAGGTCTGGGTAGTTTAGGATGAGTTGGCTGATAAAGGCCTTTTTTAGGTGTTCAAAAGCTTCCTGGCATTCACTAGTCCAGTTCCATTTTTTGTCTTTCTTAGTGAAGTCATGTAGGGAGCAGGCAATAAGTGAAAACTTGTTGATAAATTGCCTATAAAAGTTCCCTAGACCTGAGAAAGAACAGATATCATGAACCATGTGTAGAACAGGCCAGTCTTTTATAGCATCAACTTTAGAGTCTTTTATGGCAATGTGGTCTATCAAGATCATATAGCCAAGATAGTTTAGTTTTTCTTTGTAAAACTCACACTTTTCTGGTTTCAGATAAAAGTTGTTGTTATGTAGTATTTGGAAGACTTGGTTTAGGATATGGATGTGTTTTGCCATGGATCAGGAAAAAATAAGGATATTGTCCATATATATAGTTATCTTTTGGGCTATGATAATTTCTTAGAAGAATATGTTTATTGTAGCTTAGAAGGTTATAGGGGAGTTGGTAAGGCCAAAGAGTGTTACTATTGGTTTGTATAGCCCCAAAGGGGTTATAAAGGCAGCCTTCCACTTGTTTCCTTCTTTGATGCATATATTGTTATATCTCCACTATATATCTAATTTGCTAAAACTTATAGCTCTTTTGATTACATTCAGTAGTCTCTAGATTAATGGGAGGGGGCAAATGTTTGCGATAGTATGTTCATTAAGGTAGTGGTAATCTTGTACTAGGCGCAGTTTTCTATCTTTTTTTCCTATAAAGAAAAATGAGATAGTGCTGGGTAATGTGGTCCTGCAAATAGTTTCTCTTGCAAGGTGTTTTTTAATGAATTTTCCTGGTTTATTTTTTTTCTGGGACTTAAGGCATATATCTTAGGCATTTGAGGTTTGAACATAGGTTTGAGGTCAATGACATGATCCTAGAAGGTATGCTCTGGAAGTCACTGCAATTTTTGCTCACTAAAAATGTCAAGGTATTTGTGGTGTGCTTTAGGGACCCTTTTGTTACGAAACACCTTGCTTATGTTTACCTACTTTTCTCACCTTCTTGATAAGGACTCATAGGACCTTTCTCCCGACCATACCTCGTGTTCCCGCTCCATTGATACTTGGTCCGTGCTCCTGTTTGTACATATTTATAGATACTGCGGTGCAGGGTGGAAGCCTTAGGCTATCCACTTCTGTCCAATCTAAGGACTGCTGTTCATACAGTCTCCTCTGATTCCAAGGCATTAGTCTGATCAGTCCCTCAATTCCTTCTAAAACTCTTTAGTATTGTTTGTGGCCTAGGATCTCCTCATCTCGAACAGCCGTTCGTAACATCTGGATAGCCTCTCTTCACACAAATCCTACTCCACCCTTTCCTTGTAGCAGAACACTGGCTAGTTACATACAGCGTTAGGCAGTCCCAAAAGACAAACGTCCGTCGACCGTAATAGTTACTATACACTTTGAGCGAACGATTGGACAACTCCACTTCAGTGTGGGTCGTTTCAGGTTGTAGAATACTTCTATCTGGTAATCAACCCAGTGGAGGTACGACCGAAACAATTGTACTCGACGTTACGTACGGTACTATACCAGAAGCAGAAATACTATACCCGACTAGGAAGAGCTGCTGTTGCCTTGACCCTCGAACCTTGATCAGGTCGAGACGAGCGCGGGCTCTTTGATCTAACAAGACGACTTCCCAAGGTTCAGGAAAACACATAGGGCGAGTTCCGCACGGAACCGACTACCTGAAACACACGGATACATATGTCTACTCCGGACAACCCATCAGAAGAACCTCCAAAGGAAACTGGGTCTACGTAGGAGGACAGAATAGCGGAAAAACAGTTGACGCCCCGCTAGTACCCTGGGAAGATAGGAAAGCATCCCTCAGAACCGTTGACTCCCCTACCTGAACGAGACCCATCTTATCACCAGTCGATATCCCTAAAGAAGATATCAAAGACACCCCAATTCCCGCAGGAGTATTAACCCCAGTCGACGAAGAAGACCCGGAACCTGTAGCAGGACCGAGTCAACTGAATCCGAACCCAAATCCAAATCCACAACCAAACCCCTTACCAATCACAGGAACCACAGACAACGAAGATGAAATGTCAGATAAAGGAAATAAGCTGAAAGACTTTGATGGAATGAGGTCAAAGTACAGAGAATGGATCTACGAATGTCATATGTACATTCTAGCCAATCCGACCAAGTACGACTCGGACATAAACAAGACACTCATGGTCCTGTCGTATATGAGGGAAGGAACAGCTTTACTATTTGCACAAAAATACTACTTTGACAGAGAATTCCAGAAGTACAAAGCAACGGAAACCAAAAAAACATGGGGAACGTTCAAAGACTTCTTGAAAGAATTAGCTGCCGCATTCAAAGACGAAAGTCTCGAACAGAAGGCGAGACAGAAATTATTCACGATGAGAATAGGAAAGCAATCAGCGGACAAGTTTGTCACGGACTATCTCATGACAGCAGGAGAAAGTGGATTTGATCTTGAATCCACCGTTGACTATTTCCGCCTGGAAATTCTCAAACAAATCTACAGACTCCCTGATATGCCGACAACCATGGATGATTGGGTAAAATACACCCGAAGATTCGATAACCAATAGAGGGAGCTACAAAGCATAAAAAGCTCTGTACCCTCTGCTGCCGTCCGACCAAACAACCCCTTCCGTTACAACTCCTCTAACGCTCCATCATCTATGAACAACTCTGTCGTCCCCATGGCCGTAGATGCAGTCCGAATGACCCTTACAGACAAAGAGCGCAATCGCCTCAGGATGGAGGGTGGGTGCTTTTACTGTCGCCAGAAAGGACACATGGCAAATCAATGCCCTGTCAGGGGTTCGTCTAGGATATATGAAGGGTCAACTGGACATGTTCAACAGGGTAGCAGAATAGTGGGGAACCGCTCGGCTCAGGCCAGTAGCAGGATGGGAGGAGGAGGAAGCAGCTATGGCCGAACGTTCTTGGCAGGAGCTCCAGGCAGTACTCAGGGAGGCACTACGGCGCAAGGTAGAAGCATGGCAATGACTAACCTGTTCTGGGCCAGACTTGCAGCTCGCCAAGCCCACGCACCCGGACCGGATGCGCCTGTACATGAGGAGGAGCCTGAGATTAGCCGAGAAGAGATCCAAAGCGTTATAAGAAAGATAAGATAGGACGAGCAAGAAGCGCTCCTTTAGGAATTGAGCGAAATGAGCAAGCGAAAAGAATCGGATTTTTAAATAGGCCTACGGCTCCGGTGTACCGTAGACCCGCTCCAGACCCCTCTGTAAAAACATTCATATGGCTTACTAAATCCAATCAGAAATCATCTATGAGGATAAACGTGCACCTGAAACACAAAAAGGGAACCACCGAAGCCCGAGTATTAATCGATTCAGGAGCAGAAGGGCTTCTCATCGACAAACAATTTTGTTTGAACAATAACATACCAATGCAGAAAATCGACAAACCTATTCCTGTGTTTAATGTGGACAGAACAGCCAATGATGGAGGAAAAATCACTGACAAAGCCTGCCTGCTTATGAGAATGACAAATGAAGAAGGTGATTATCACAACGAACGATGCGAATTACTAGCCGCTAACCTAGGAGGAGAAAACGTAATCCTAGGAACAGATTGGCTACACAAACATAATCCACAGATCAATTGGGTAAAAAACAGTCTCACGTTTTCAACTTGCACCACCACGTGCCTAGTCAGCTGACCCAAATTTACCATACAAGCACTAGCGCCCCAGTGAAGAAAAAACAGAACAGTTGGGTATTCCAGAATAGAAGATGATTTGGAGGAAAATGAAACCGAAGACACCTTCTTTTCCGAATTCTATGAAAAATGGTATTACCAGGATCTACTAGAAGTGCACCCCCTCGAAGCAGTTCATATCGGCTCCATTGGAAACAAGTCACAACAACTGGCAGAAAAAGCAAACAAAACAAAAATGGAACGACCTATTGAGGAAATAGTCCTGGCATATGTTCTTAAACGATTCGCCAAAATCTTCAGCCAGGAAGCCTCACAACAACTTCCAGAATATTCACAATGGGACCATAAAATCGATATGAAACCAGGATGGGAACCAACGGGATATAGGCTATACCCCTTGACAGAAGAAGAAGAAGACCAGCTACATAAGATGCTTCAAGAACACTTGAAATGGGGAACCATTAGAATATCCAAATCCCCACAAGCGTCACCCTTCTTCTTTGTAAAAAAGAAGGAAGGAAGCTTACGACCGGTTCAAGATTATTGGAGACTGAATGAGTGGACAGTAAAAAACAAATACCCACTGCCCCTGATTGATGACGTAATAAGAACCATTGCCAAATCAAAAGCAAGGATCTTCTCCAAGTTTGATGTCAAATGGGGGTATAACAATGTTTGAATAGCAGAAGGTGACGAATGGAAGACAGCCTTCATGACTAAATTTGGCCTGTTTGAATGTCTTGTAATGTTCTTTGGTCTTTGCAACTTGCCCGCCATTTTTCAAACTATGGTGAACATCATCTTCCATGACCTCATTGTTGCGCAAGTCCTTGCAGTCTACATGGATGACATCCTGGTGTTCACAAAGACTATTGAAGAACATAGGCGCGTGACGACCCAGGTCATGCAAATACTTTTGGACAACGACTTGTTCCTAAAGCCCTCTAAATGCACCTTTGAGACGGATACAGTTGAATACCTCAGGTTTATCATTTCCGCGGATAATATATCCATGGACCTGGTCAAGGTCGATGGAATCGCCGCCTGGCCAACCCCGAAGAACCTAAAAGAAGTACAGTCTTTCCTCGGCTTTGGAAACTTCTATCGCAGATTCATCAAAGACTTCGCTACCACGGCCCGACCTCTCAACGACCTTACAAAGAAGGATGTACCATTTGAATGGACTCATGAGAGGAACGAAGCCTTTGAACGGTTGAAGCATTGCTTCACATCTACTCCCGTCCTTATCTACCCAGACGGTAATCGCTCATTCCGCCTTGAGACCGATGCATCGGACTTCGCTTCTGGCGCCATCCTATCGCAAGAAACGCCCAACGATGGATGGCACCCTGTCGCTTACCTGTCCAAATCTTTCAATGTGGCCGAGCGGAATTACGATATCTTTGATAAGGAGCTACTTGCTGTTATACATGCCCTCAATCACTGGCGCGTGTACCTCGAAGGTGCACGATACCCGTTCGAGATTTGGTCCGACCACAAAAACCTCCTATACTTCTCTACTGCAAGAACTTTTTCCCGCCGCCAAGCACGTTGGTCACTCTTCCTCTCCCACTTTGACTTCACCCTCGTCCACAAACCAGGTATTACCCACCGGCCCGATGCTCTGTCCAGGCGTCCAGACCTAAAAGAGGGGGTAAAATCTGACAACAAAGATCAGGTGATACTACAACCCCAAATGTTTGTTAAAAGCGCGACAGGACAATGAACAGTTGAAATGCTTGACAGCCAGCTAAGACAAAAGCTAAAAGAAGTCACGGCTAAAGACAGAGAAGTAATGGAAGCAATGGAGCTTATCAAAGCATCAGGACCTAGAGCACTCTCAAAAGGCTTACAAGAATGGAATTATGAAGACAGCCTTATCTGGCATAGAGGAAAAATATACGTTCCGCCAGACGATGAACTCAAAAGACAAATCACAAAAATGTACCATGATTCACCAGCAGCTGGACACCTAGGAAGGTGGAAGACCTAGGTCCTAGTATCAGACAACTTCTGGTGGCCAGGAATGTCCACATTCATAAAGGAATACGTAACGGGATGCGCAACATGTCAATATACCCAAAACATCATGTATCCCACATGCACCCCGCTTATTCCAAACGAAATACCAGAAGGACCCTGGCAAACAGCCACAATGGACTTCATCACGGATCTTCCCCAAGTAGGACCATATAATGCCATTCACATGACGGTAGACAGAAGCACCAAGGGCGTTGTTTACACCCCATGTGATAAAACCATAGACGCCAAAGGAACCGCTGACCTCTATATGAAAAACATCTGGAAACAATACGAACTTCCAAGGAAGATTGTATCTGATAGAGGTCCACAATTTGCGGCCAGGTTCATAAAGGAACTATAGAGAAAGCTAGGAGTAACAACAGCACTATCAACCACCTACCACCCAGAAACAGATGGAGAAATGGAAAGAGTCAATCAAGAGCTAGAACAGTATCTGTGAGCATTCTGCAACTACAAACAAATGAATTGGCCTGAATTATTGTCATATGCAGAATTCACACACAACGTCAGGGAACATTCAGCAACTCACCAATCGCCATTTGAACTCATGTATGGCTATAATCCAACCTTTGTACCTCCGATTACGCCGAGATCCGACATCCCAGGAGTAGAACAAAGGTTGGAAAGGCTAGAACAATTACAGCAAAAAACGAAGGCCAGCCTAGAAGTTGCAGCTGAACTAATAAAAAGAAAAACAGCCGAAAACGAAGTCAAATTAGAAGCAGGACAGAAAGTTTGGCTATCGGGAAAAAATATCACCACCACGCACCCAAAAGACAAACTAGCCCCAAAACTGCATGGACCATTCGAAATAGAAAGCAAACTAGGACCGGTGACATACAAATTAAAGCTTCTGCCAACGTGGAAAATACACCCCGTATTCCACGCCTCGTTAATCTTACCCTATCAAGAAACAGCTGCACATGGCCCCAACTTCGAACAACCACCACCTGACCTCATAGACGGACAGGAGGAATACGAAGTCGAAGAAATTCTTGATAAGAGGAAACAAGGACACGGGTATCAATACCTAGTACACTGGAAAGGATATCCGAGCTCCGTGGATGAATGGGTCACAAGAGCAAACCTAGGGAATGCCAGAGAACTTTTAGAAGCATACAATGCGCGACATCATAACTTACCACTACAAGCAGCTCTCACAAACATCAAACAAACAAAGTCCGAAACGTATAAAAACCCGAATTCAATTATTACAATTCCCTTATCCCTTCAATCGCTTATTCACTCCCCCAGCAAACATGTCTTCCAGTGAATCCATCTACCTCTTCTCTGAAGACACTCTCGTCGAACGACCTTATGAAGAAACACCCTCTACTGAACCCTCTATTCCCTCGACTCCCGAGATGTCTATAGTAGAAGAACGATCCGTACCATGGGACACAGACAAAGAACAAGCAGTGCGGGAAGCAGAAGAAGGATTCAGCGAATATCTGGAAGGACTGGACGAGGACAAACAACGACAAGACGAGATGATCAGACAACTCACAGAGGACTTCGACAGACCCTCACCTTCCCGCTCTCCCTCTCCACCACCCCTTACCCGCACACAGGGTGAGGGGATCATATTCCCCGATAGAGAGACATACCTGACGACTCCCGTCACTTATATGATGGGACTCATCGAAGGAACACCGAACACTGAGTTTGTGTCAGGGCCCACACGACCAGAGATACAAAGGGTGTTGGAGATTTTGGAAGAGGAAAGGAGCTTTGTCCGACACGCGCAAAGGGCTCTGCAGATTTAGGAAGGAACGCTCATTGCCCGTATCAATGCGGGCGAGAGAAGACTTATGGGTTTGAATCAAACTCCACATCTCCAAGACTCTTTTCATCCCACTGACGACATCACCCCCATCACTGAATATTATATGCCTACCACAGCTGTGGTATCTTGTGCCTCGTCTTCGGCCTCAAATGGAACACCGCTGTTACGCTAGAGGTGGCTCTAAGTGCCGAGCACAACACTAAAACAACCTCTAAGGCAGGGGTGCTGGAGCTAGTATCTGATACACAAGGAATTGTAAGTGATGACTTTAGAAATTGAAGGCGTACTGAGAAGCAATCGGGGAGTGTGAGATTATAGCGCCCGAACGGTTTCGGGACTGCGCCGAACACCGACCGAACGTTCGGTCGGTCGTGTCGGCGATGCGGTCGGTAATGAGAAGGTAGTGTCGCGACCGACAACTACGTGCTTCAAGAGCCACACGGGACTCTGACAATATACGAGGGAGGACGGGGGGGTACGAGCGAAGAGACGAGTACGAACGCGAATGAGGCCGAACGACGAGGATGACAAGTTTTTCGGAAGTCGACGAAGACGATTTCGATGGTTGAGACGAGTGCGAATGAGCTCTGAACTGTGGGGTGCGAAAGCTGGTTTATTCCAGAGTTGTATGTAGGTTTTTATAGTAAACAGAGCCCCTAAGTAAAATATTAAACAAGAAATGAGAGTAGATGTCGAATGGGCGCCAAGCCCCAGCGATCAGAGAAGATAAGGAGGTAGGTGAGATGTCCATATGGGTTCCGAAGGTGATAAGGTAAAAGGTAATCAGTGATGTCGAAATCCCGAACGTTCGGGATCCGTCTCCCGAGCGTAGGTAGCAGGAACAGGCGTTGGAGAGCCAATGAAAAATAAAGAAGAGGTATCGTACGACCAGGGTGGCCAAGCAATGGTGCAAGATCGCGTTTGACCGACCATGCGGAAGTCGGGAAGATAAACGATAAGGACCGACCGACTCACGGAGGACATCGGCCGATACGGAATACTGGCTCCGATCTCGTAAACACTTATCGTAACACTCCTATGCGGTCATGGTAAGTACGTGAAGTGTGGGCGAACTGACCCAAGTGCTGCCGAACGTCCTTCGGTGGCTTGTCGTCGGTCGGGTAGGGACCGACCGTGTTCGGTAATAGTCGGCGTCTTCGGTACTTGTCGAGCGCTGTTCGGTATCTCCCCAAAGCTTCACGAATACTTCCCTCGGACCCTAGCGCGGGTGCATGCTCATCATCTCCTCCCTACTGAAATCCTGACTGTCCTCAGTCAGTGGTCGTCGGCTATGAGTCGGAGCGGGAAAAAAATGGTGTAGAAAATGTGGTGGCGTGGATGTGGGAAAGAGTTGGTAACAAGCGATAGCGTGGAAAGAATAGCTGTGGCGTGGAAAATGGAGCGGTGTGGCAAGTTTCATGGGAAAAAGATCGGCTATGAGCGGTGGCGTGGAAAGGAGTGGGTGCGTGGGAGGGATGTGGCACAGGTGAATAATCGGCAAAGAGATGTCGTAGAAAGAACCGGGTCGGCGCGCAAGAGAGACCGGGGCTGAGTCGGCAAAGTCCTGTGGCGTGGCAACTGATTAGGTGAGGAAGTGGCTAAAGCCTAGCGTGTCCCAACTAGACGGTGGCGTGAGAGCGTGTCGGCAAGGCGCGGTGGCGCGTATCGCAATTACTGCCGCGCGCAGTGGCTCGTGGCTTTGTCAGGTGACCACAGTCACGTGCCGATCGTTGATTCTCCAGCGACCAAGTCCCTCATCGCCGCTTGCCTACCGCTCAATTCCTTCGTCTCTTCCGACATGTCAGCCCTCCTCTCCGCCCTGAAGACGAAACTCGGAGAGTATATGCTCTCCCTTCCGGATGGTGCCGCCGAATACGAGGACTACGAGGCCTGGGCGCGAGGTTTCGCCAAGCGAGTGGTAAGTCGGCTCTTTTCTCTTGTCCCTGCTGCTCGCTGACGTCTTTTCAGGCTGTTTTAGATCGCTCAGCGCGTGGGCAAGACCTTCCCGAACTCGCCGACTGGATCGCCGAGGCCGAGCATGGCCTCGACCACATGGCCACCGATGACTGGCTGGCCTGGGGAACGCGTATCCTACCGCAACGGGCGGCGCACTTTGCGACGCAGCAACAGCGACAAGCGGCTGAAGCACAGGCCCTGGAGGAGGAATCGGCACGGGTCGCCATTGCCGAACGCGAGGCTGAGGAGGCTGAGGCAGCGCGGGCTGCTGCTGCCTTGCGTATTGCCGAAGATGATCGTCAGCGGCGCCGGGAGGCCTTGGTGGAGGCCATGTTCGATGGATCGATGGATCCGGAAGAAGGGGACCGTCAAATGGCCGCCCTAGAAGCAGAGTCCGTCCTACCCTTCCCCCTTTTTCTTCGCTCTCCCTCTCCTTCCGCTCCCGTCGTGTCCTCTTCCCATCCCGCTCCTTCCGTCGCCGACTCGCTTTCTCGTCCCGGGTCTCCAATCGCCGATCCTGAACTCGCCTCCGCGACCGCCGCTATGAACCGAATGAGCGTGGATCTGGTCGCGTCCACCGCCCCGACCGATGCGAAGGGCAAGAAATCGGCCGCTGCTGTTATCGTCGAGTTCGCGCGCCAACAGACGCCGACTGCTGGGCGGGTTGTGCTTCCTCTAGGTCCTGGCACAGGCCGAATGTCGACGGTTCGTCCCCCGGTGGAACGGAACGGCGCTGGTAAGGTTCTTGAGGATCCTCCTGGACTACTTCCTGGTGATGTCTTGGTACGTCCCCTCCCTCTTGCCGCCTCGTCCTGATACTGATCTTCTTTCGTTTCTAGGCTGACTATGCCTGTCATCGCTGCGCCGACAACTTCACCACCAGGGCGTTCCGTTGCTACCTGAGGCCCGGCCAAGTATCGTGTATCAAATGCGCCGGGGAGCGGAAGGGTTGCAGTTTCCAGCCTGGGTGGACATCAAAAGACAAGGGAAAGGGGGCGTCGAAGGGGAAGGGGAAGTCTACCGGGAAGGCGAAGTCGGCTAGTAAGGCGAAGTCGATCGAAAAGTCGGTGGAGGAGGGGCCATCCCGCCCAACAAAGAGACGTAGGGTGGAGGTGCTTGTTCCCGAACGGTCGGTCGGGGACAGCATCGCGCAAAACAAAGGTAAGTTGTCGTTCGGTAAAGTTTTGGAGGGGCTCATCGCGATTTGTACAGCCGCTCGGACCAGGAAGCCGGTGAAGCGCCTGCCGGTGACCACCCAGGCTGTCCCTTCCTCTTCTCATCCTCCTCGCTCCCGTCCGTCCGTCATTCCCTCCCTTTCCAACTCTTCCCGTCTGTTGCCGACCGTTGCGCAAGGCATCGCTTCTGAGATTCGGTACCGGATTGCCGTTGCCGAGGGTTCGCGTGCCTTTCTGGCGCGTTCGATCGCGATGTGGCAGGCCGAGCTAGAGTCCCTCGAAGCGCGTTCGGGTCCTGCGACTTCGGACATGGTGATGGTCGAGGATTCGTCGCAGTCGGAAGGTTCGGCGATGTCCGAGTCGGGGGATTTTGTACCCAGCGAATGAATTCAGGCCCTTGTACAGTAGTTAGAATGTAAATAAAAGAAAAAAAAACTGTCCTGGATGAAATGTGACGTTCGGCGAAGACTAGAGGTGTCGTCTCGGGAAATCGGTCGGCGAAATGACTGTGTGTGAATGTACTTGTAAGCGAAGCGTTCGGCAGAAATGAAGACAATAAACTGGAATCTTAGGGGAAGCCTCAGTATGTCATCACAGGCATAAAACCCTATGGTTTTGCGCAAATCGGAAGAAGTCTTCAATGCGGCTTGGTACTTGAAGGAGTGATGGGGAAAATGAGTGCCGACTATTCGGTCGGCGATCGGTCGGCAGCAAAAGTACTAAGAGATGTGGAAATGCTTGGGTGTCAGTCCATGTCTGTGACGAATAGGTGAAATAAGGAATGGGTATATCTGTGCATCCTCCTCCCTACTGAAATCATGACTGTCCCCAGTCACCGACCAAAGAGAGCGAAGGGTGGGAGGGTGGGTCTAGTCAGAAGTCGCCGACCCCGCATCGTCGTCTTCTGCTGATCGGATGGAGCTGGTGTCAGTATTCTCCTCGTCGGCATCGTCGTCTTCGGCATCGTCGTTGCTCGATCGGGATTCTTCCATGGCCCGAAGGCGTTCTTGTGAGATGTCGAGGAGGGCTTCAATGTCGGCGAGCTTCAGAGACCTGCGAGCAAAATAAGGAATAATGCGGAATGCCGCCACTGGCCGGTCAAAGACCGATCCGTCGAGTTCGGCCAAAATATACGCCCCTCCCCGATTCCTAGAAATTACTAGCAATGGCCCTAAATACCGTGGACGCATCTTCCGATTGAGTGCCTTCTCTATGGCTGTGTTGCGCATCAGGACAAGCGAGCCTCGGTGGAAATTGAAGTCGCGAAGGGTGGCCGAATGCTGTTGTTCGAATCGGATGGCGGCCTGGACACGGGCGCCGACTACTGAGCTGCGAAGGTGGGCGAGGTCTGATCGGCGTTTCTGCAAGGCTATGGCACGTCGGGCGATGAGGTCGGTGGTGCTGAGGGTTGTGGTCGGCGGTGGCAGGAGGTAGGTGGCTTCGGCGATGTCGAGGGGGAGAAGGGGATGGGTTCCGGTCGCTGCGAAGTATGGCGAGCAACCCATTCGGCGCCGAACGGTAATGCGATCAGCCCAGAATACGAAATGAGCTGCACGATTCCACTTGGCCTGATCTCCATCAACGGTTTTGAACAGAGCCTGCCGAACGTCGAAGTGAGGTCGTTCGGCGATGCCGTTGGCGCGGGAATTGTAGCCCGAAATACGGATGTGCCGAACGTGGTACTTTTTCGCTAACTGGTCGAGCGCCTTGACGAATGCTGGTCCGTTGTCGGAGACGATCTCTACCAGTGTTCCCCATCGGCACATGATATCCTCGAAGATCCAGTCGGCGAGGGCTGAGCTTGTTTCGCGTCGGAGCATGCGGAATTCGGGGTAGTGCAATACCGAACAGCGGCCTTGAACGAGATACTTGAAACCACCAGCGGTCGGCATATGCATAGTGTCCATATACATCTTTGCGAAAAGTGGTGCAGGCGTGGCGACGGTCGGGGGAATGAGGACGTTGCGAGTCTGGCGAATCTGGCAAAGGTGACATGTCCGAACAAACCAGGAAATGTCTTGCCTCATGTGCGGCCACCAGAAGCGTTCGGCGACCAAGGCGGTCGTGGCGTAGAATCCCTTGTGAGCAACGTCGTCGTGGGCGGCAGTGAGAATTGTGATCCGACTAGAGGGGGCTGCAACGATCTTGTGTCGACCGTGCGAGTCTTTTCTCCATAGCTTGTCGGCTGCGATGAAGAACTCAGTGCAATATCGCAGGAAGGTGGCATATTCGGAGTCGGAGAGAGAAGGGGGCCGAACCAATGTTCGGTGCCAGTCGCGGACCAACCATAGGCGTTCCTCGGCTTCCAAAGCTTTCTGCGATCTTGGGATATCCGAATAGTCGATGGTCGGGCCTTCGTCGTCGGAGTCGGTATCGGTCGAGGGGTCGCCTACGAGCGAGGAGGTGAAGATGGCGGTGGTCGAAGTTGAGTTGGAGGTGGGGAACGTGTTGTTGATCTGATGGAGGAAGCCATAGAGATTGTCGATCCAGTCGTCAAAGTCGTCTTCGGGTTCGGGTCGATCGGAGGGTTGTGGTGGTCGTCGGGAGAGTCCATCGGGGCCGTGAGAGGTGCCGGGGACGTGGACAAGTGTGAAATGGAAGGTGAGGATGGAGACGATCCACCGATTGATGCTAGCGCTGGGTTCGAGATCCGGGTTAGTGAGCATGCCCTTGATGTAGCGTGCGTCTACTTCGACTATCAGGTTCCGAACGCCGATGAGGTACATTTTGAGCGATCGGAGGGCGCGAAAGAGGCCGTAGAGTTCGAGCTTGGGTTGGGAGAATCGCGATTCGCGGTCGTTAAGGGTGATGGAGCCGAATCGGGCATAGTACCGAACCCGGGGATTGTCGAGCGCACATTGACAGAGGTGGAAGCCGACCGCGATTTGTGAGGTATCGACGGCGAGGATGACGTTGGCTGCCGACCCATAGTCGATCGGCCGAAGGGCTGGCGATTCGAGAAGCGCCGACTGGAGGTCGTCCTGGGCCGCTATCTGGTCTGGGCCGAACACGAATGGAAAATCTTTGCGTGTTAACATTGTCAGTGCATGCGCCCTGTGTGCAAAATTCCGAATGAAGATCCGAACGACACCGATCGTCCCCAAAAATGCCCGAACATCTGAGAGATCCCTGCAAGGTCCCCACTTCATAATTGACTCTACCCTAGATTCGTCGGGTAATCTTCCTTCGTACGTGCAGCGATGGCCGACCACCGTGATTTCAGCTGCGCAGAGTGTCGCCTTGTGTCCCGAAAATGTTCCTCCGCTGTACTTCATCCGCTGAACCACCCGATTGAGGCCTTGAAAGTGTTCCCACACAAATCGTCGTATGCCGGGGTTGTCGGGGTGCGTCTCGAACCCGCCGTTCGGAAGTTCGTATCGGGTCGGTGGGCCCCGAATCGGGACATCGTCGATGAACGGAATGGTGGTGTCTGGAATTTCTGGCTGGAGGATGTGGGTGACGTCGTCGTGGAAGATCGGGACCGAATTTGTCCATCCCATGGGCAGGGTGACGAGTCGGTGGGCGCCGAATGGGGTCTGGAACGTGGTGAAGTCGCGAGATGATTCGGCGAGCCCTCGTTCGTCATAGCCGACATAGAGATCCAGAATGCCGCCACAAGCGCGAGCTGCAAACTGTTCAGCGATCTGATCGGTATATGGGGGCACACCTGAATGCTGGATGGTGACGGCGTTCAAGGGTTCGAGGCTGTGAACGATTCGGAGTTTGGTGCCAGTGGAGGTGCTATTCGTCTTCTTGACGACTGTAAACCAGCGCGATCGGTAGGACGAATTCGACGGCTCATAGACTCCAGCGGCGATCTTGGTTTTGATAAGTCGGCACACTTCGTCGTAGATGCCTGGTGGAATCGGAATGTTGCGTTGAACCCAGGGCTTGTGTTCGACCACCGGCATATTGACTGGAGGAAAGAAATCCTCGCGGAAACGTCCGCGTTCCGAATCGTCCCAGGCAAATCCCATCTCTTGTAGACACATGAAATGGTGCATGAGCTGTCGTTCGGCCGGCCAAAGGAAGTCGTCCGAGTGGACTTTGTCGATGAGGTCGCGTCGTTCGGCTGTGTATCTGCCGGTCGGCGTGAAGGGTGGGGGGTTCGGTGTCAGCGTCGGAAGGGCAGCGAGAGGGTCACCGAGGATGTTCCGAACGATTCGGAACTGTTCGGGGAGGTCGGCCAAGACTGGTCGTGTTTTCTGTGCGACCGGTTTGTACTTGCGCTTGGCGGCGAAAATGGCGACCGGGTCGGCGATATTAGTGGAATGGAGAGAACCGGGAACGAATGAGGAGAATAAGGACAACATATCGGAATCGAGATTGTTTTTGAGATGATTTTCGGGCCCCAAATCGGAGGCCATAATGTACTTGAGACAGAGATCGCGACGAGAGGGAAATGGAGAATGGAAATCTGAGGACGCTTCGATAAGTGGGAAATTGGGGGTATCATGATCGGTGGAAATGATCAGTGCAACTTCTCCTTGATCTCGGATCAATTCATCGAGTCGCGAAAACCCGCTTGTCTTCGGTGAAGGACTCGAGGGGGTCCTCGTCTGATCGTCGGAATGGTGGCTCGTCGTCCCGTGTTCGGGTCGCTGATGGTGATCGTCTGGTCTTCGTTTGAATAATTTTTGACGATACTTTCGGTGAGGATGTCGAATGGCCGACCGAGGAGAACGTCATAGGCGGGGTTCCGAATGATGTGGACTTGGAGGTACAGGGTGATGTCGCCGATGAGGAATGGCACGTTGCGTGCCAGGCCCAAGGATCGGTCGATTTCGCCGTTCGCCGACTGCATATTGAGGACGATTTCGGGGTCGTAGATGAGCGCCAGTTCGTTGCAAATGCCTTCCGACATGGCAATGACTTGTGAACCCGGGTCGATGACGCATTCGACTTCCTGCTGATGATCGACGAGGGGAACAATAGACCTTAGGGCAGACGATTCTTTAGCAACTATCAATGGCTGAGGAACCTGACCGGGCTGTAGATTCTTCAGGTACGTTTCGTACATGTCGGGGATGATGATCGCGCCCGGCGGGGGTGTTTCCGGTTGGTGCAGGACATTGACGAAGGAGGAGACGGTCGGTCGAGTCGGTGGTTCGAGGTCGTCGATGGCATAGGGTAGATCGGCATCTTGGTAGAAGGTCCGAACATTGCTGGCGTCTCTGGCAGGCGATCGGCGTGCCGACGTGGCTTCCCTGACCTGTGAACGGACTTCGGCGGAGAGAGAGAGTAGTTCGCGCTGGGTAAGCGTCACCTGAGTGGCCATTGCCCTGTTGTAGACCTCAGCTGCTACCTTCTCGTCGTAGATCGGCGCCGTGGTTTTGTAGGCCGGAGCGTCCTTCTTTGCCGATGGTATCTTCGCCGGGGCTCCCATGTTGCGGTCGTGTGGCGGTGCATAGGTGGCGTCCTGGGCTTTGGCATATGGGTGGATCGGAGCATCGTCCTTGGCTGGTACCGGGGGCGGTCGCTGAGTCGGGGTGGTCGGTCGGGGTTCGGGTTCGGGAGTTTCGGTCCTCGCTCGTCGTTCGGGGGCCGGTGAAGGGGTAGGTGCCGAACGTCCTGCCTGCGCCATTTCGCGTGCCCTTGCGCCCCGCGTTCGGAGCGCGAATAGTTCGCGTTCGAGGCTCGCGATTCGCTGGACGTCGGTGAGTTGGTAAGTCGGGGTGACATCCAGCAATGAGGGTGAATCGTGACGGGAGGCTATCGTCATTGGGTGAGTCGGCACCGCGTTTACCGTAAACATCATCTGTCCGGTCGCCAACTGGCCTGGATTCCTGCGATGCCATTCGTCAACTCGGTCCTTCAGGTTACTACCCGTGATTTCTCTCGGTACGAATGCCCCACTTGACAATACCACCTTCCCCTCGATATTCCTCTTGCATTTGCCGATCCGAATGTATTCGGTGACCTCGGGACAGGCGCGCATGAAGTGTTCGGGACTGCCGCAGAACATGCAGTTGTCGCCGCCTTGTCCTGGCTGTCGGGATGGTCGATCGGCTGGCCTGGTCGTCCCCTGAGCTGTGATGGCCTTGACAAAGGTGTCGGTGAGCCGTTCGAACATGGTCGCCAGGTCTTCGGCCTTGATCGCGTTGGTGGGCGGCGCGGCGGGGGCTGCTCGAGAGATGTCGGTAGGGATCGTGCTGTAGGCGGACGTGGTGCCGTGCAAGACGAATCGGGCCGCGTCGTGGATGTCTTGGAGGTTGTATGGGTCGTCTGGGAAATGATCGGGGAACTTGAGTTGTAGACGTTGAGAGATTCTTGCCCATAGCTCCGGTTGGAATCCTCTAGCGAAGGCGCGTCCTTGTTCGGCGACCGAGATCCGTGCCTTGCTGAGGAGGAATACCGTGATCGCCAGGAATCGCCGATGATAGTCGCCGAGTTCGCTGAGAGACAAGATGCCGACCCTGCTCGTTTCGCCGACTAGCTTGTCCATATCCGATACCGACCATTTGCGTTCTTCCTCCGATCCGGGGTATAGCCTGTAGACCTCTTCGCAGAACTCCTTGAAGGTCTTCGTGGCGTCGGTGAAAGTGGTGAGCGATTCCCAAAGCTCACAGGTGTCGACATCTAGGAATCGGCAAGCGTGTTTCTTTCTTTCTTGTTCGTCCACTACCGCAGACCGAACGAAGTGGAAGTCCAGATCGGAGAAATATCGTCTCAATTCGCGGGGTTGATGGGGGTCAAAGGTCGGGGCCGTTCGATCTCCACGAGCGGGCATGGATGGGGTCGCCATAGTGAGAAAGTCAAAGGTGGGGGAGAAGGTATTGTTTTCTAAGGTGATCGGGGATGGAGTCGCTGGTTCGAAGGAGCGTTCTAGTGAAGTCGGTCGGATGGTCGGCGTCCAGAAGACGGGGCTGCGTGGGATTAACGGAGAGATGGAGTCGTGGAGAGATGGGATAGGAGACGGGGGTGATTGTTCTAAGAGTGCAAGGTCGAGGATAGGGGAAATCGGTGGGAGTAACGATCGGTTCGGCGACGAAGGTGGGGTTAAGAAGAAAGTGGAGTCGGGTGGTGGTGAGAGCGATGGCGAGGATTCGAGATCAAGGTAGTGATGGTGGGATAAGTGTTCTGGGACTATATCGGCGTCTCCGAACAAACTTCGGTCGGCAGATGTTTCCTGAGTATTGAAGCTATCGATAACTGTTTGTCGTTCTTCGCGCTCCGCTGTTGGTCGGGACGAGCGACGTAGATTCCTTGAGGTAATTTTGAATACTAACCCCTCGCGGTGGGCTCCAAAATGTTACGCTAGAGGTGGCTCTAAGTGCCGAGCACAACACTAAAACAACCTCTAAGGCAGGGGTGCTGGAGCTAGTATCTGATACACAAGGAATTGTAAGTGATGACTTTAGAAATTGAAGGCGTACTGAGAAGCAATCGGGGAGTGTGAGATTATAGCGCCCGAACGGTTTCGGGACTGCGCCGAACACCGACCGAACGTTCGGTCGGTCGTGTCGGCGATGCGGTCGGTAATGAGAAGGTAGTGTCGCGACCGACAACTACGTGCTTCAAGAGCCACACGGGACTCTGACAATATACGAGGGAGGACGGGGGGGTACGAGCGAAGAGACGAGTACGAACGCGAATGAGGCCGAACGACGAGGATGACAAGTTTTTCGGAAGTCGACGAAGACGATTTCGATGGTTGAGACGAGTGCGAATGAGCTCTGAACTGTGGGGTGCGAAAGCTGGTTTATTCCAGAGTTGTATGTAGGTTTTTATAGTAAACAGAGCCCCTAAGTAAAATATTAAACAAGAAATGAGAGTAGATGTCGAATGGGCGCCAAGCCCCAGCGATCAGAGAAGATAAGGAGGTAGGTGAGATGTCCATATGGGTTCCGAAGGTGATAAGGTAAAAGGTAATCAGTGATGTCGAAATCCCGAACGTTCGGGATCCGTCTCCCGAGCGTAGGTAGCAGGAACAGGCGTTGGAGAGCCAATGAAAAATAAAGAAGAGGTATCGTACGACCAGGGTGGCCAAGCAATGGTGCAAGATCGCGTTTGACCGACCATGCGGAAGTCGGGAAGATAAACGATAAGGACCGACCGACTCACGGAGGACATCGGCCGATACGGAATACTGGCTCCGATCTCGTAAACACTTATCGTAACACTCCTATGCGGTCATGGTAAGTACGTGAAGTGTGGGCGAACTGACCCAAGTGCTGCCGAACGTCCTTCGGTGGCTTGTCGTCGGTTGGGTAGGGACCGACTGTGTTCGGTAATAGTCGGCGTCTTCGGTACTTGTCGAGCGCTGTTCGGTATCTCCCCAAAGCTTCACGAATACCTCCCTCGGACCCTAGCGCGGGTGCATGCTCATCACCGCTTCGCCCAATGCCGGGGGCTTATCCCATGGAACGCGGCAGGGGAAGGGATATTTATAAATTCGCGCAGATTTCACCCCATTACCATGTCATACCCGCGCAACTGGGAGTAATTCGCTCCTCTACCCAAACTCGACCTCCCCTCCCCTTCGTCGAGTATGACTCCAGCGAGTCCGACACCCAGCCCATCGTCCTCCGCCCTCGAGGTGCTTGAAGAACGAGATGATGACGTCCGGTACAACGTAAAACTGCCGGGGCAAACGACAGTTCGAATCCGTTGGGCCAGTACCCACTGCCATGATGAGACGAGGGACTCGGCTCTAGAACGCAGTCCCCGCATGGTTGGTAACAAGGTGGGGTATCATGACGTCCGTACTCAAGAGCTATCGCATCATGACTCGACTGTGGGCAGCGAGAATCTGTGCCCTAAGTATTATTTTGTATGACTCAGCTTACACGCATTGCTTATGTTTTTCCTGGACTATTACTTACCATCTCTGGCACTGTCGGCCTAGAGGGGGAGGTAATGTTACGAAACGCCTTGCTTATGTTTACCTACTTTTCTCACCTTCTTGATAAGGACTCGTAGGACCTTTCTCCCGACCATACCTCGTGTTCCCGCTCCATTGATACTTGGTCCGTGCTCCTGTTTGTACATATTTATAGATACTGCAGCACAGGGTGGAAGCCTTAGGCTATCCACTTCTGTCCAATCTAAGGACTGCTGTTCACACAGTCTCCTCTGATTCCAAGGCATTAGTCTGATCAGTCCCTCAATTCCTTCTAAAACTCTTTAGTATTGTTTGTGGCCTAGGATCTCCTCGTCTCGAACAGCCGTTCATGACACTTTTCTTTTAGGTTAGTGATGACAATTTCTTCTTCTAGGTCTTGGTCAAAGCTGGTGAATCCTGATGGTTCTGGGGATAACTTCCAGATACCAGGTTTCTCTGTAGTGACTAGAGGAAACAGTTGTGAGAGATTTTTCTTATGCATTTGGTGAAGGAGATAGCTTGAGGTTTGTTTAAGCATATTGTTTTTTTCCTCTACATATTTCTTTATGTTCTGTATGAGCCACTTCCTTCTAAGGTAGGCTATTAGTCAGACACCAAACATTCCACTATGGTTATAAAGACTTATATCCTCTAATATTTTTCAGAGGTGTTCATTGTATTATTCTTTGCGCTTGTTAATCTATGGTTTATATTGTGGTTCCCTACCAACTGTTAACTAACCATTTTTTGGTGATTCTTCCCTTGCCTTGGTAAACCCATATGGTTACTAGCAATTCTGGGAACACTGATCAAAGTGCACTTTATGTTACCTCCACTCAATAGAGGGATCATGGTATTTCAGCCAATCTGTTCCTAGGATAGTGTTATCTTTCCCTAGATTGCAAATGAATATTTGAATACATTTGGTATATTTTCATCCATAAATGTCCTAAATTTTAAGGTTCACATCCAGTGCTAATTAGATGAGACCTGCTTTGTTAATAGTGTCATTGATGTTGTGGATGCAAATAGGGTGATTGAGTGAGTATGTGGGGAATTTGTGCTTCTTGACCCATACTTTGTTTACTATGATTCTTTTGCATGCTGAGTCAATGGTTGCTTTTGCACTAGTATAATGAGTCTAGTTTGAAATCTGTATATTCAGATGAATAAGAATGATGATGCAACTGGTCATTCCTCTGATATAAATGTATTTCTTTGATTCAAACTCAGGTTTTGTTTGACCTCTTGCCTTTGCTGGTAAGGGAGAGATTAGGCAAAATGCTCCACAAATCCTATTATGATATCCATCTACTCTTCTTCCTTTAATTTATTAAGGACTGCTCTGACTTGAGCAGTATGACTGACACCTCTATCCTCTTATCATCCATCAAACAATACAATACATCACTGATAGTTTAGTGAGGGTAGTCAAGATGAGGAAGGTCCAGACATCCTATTAAATGACCAGGTTGTGGTACTCATTAGTTATCACAATGAGTGTCCCTCGCCTCCATTCCTTGATGTACCTCCACTTGGTTTCCTAGAGTGGGTCCTGTATCATTTTCATCTTCAATATCAACTGCATAGTTTCTTCTCTTTGTCTTTCCCACAAATTTCTTTGAGCTTCCTTGAGCTAGTCAAACACCTTTGTATGGAAGTTGACAGTCAGCGCTATAATGCCCTAGTTTTCTGCAGTTAAAATAAGAGGGAGTCAGCTTGCCCTCATATTTTTATTTCTGGCTAATAGTGTTGCGCTTTCACATAGTGTTAATATCCATGTCCATGACTTGGTTGTTGATTCTGTGAGGGGCATTTGTGGAGTTATAATAGAGTATAGATTAGAGACAAAAGTGGTTTAGAAAATCACTTCAAAAAGAGGTGGAGTTTGCAAGGATGGCCTTTTGAGCACTTTGCACTCTAAGTTGCCCATTTATTCTGCAAGCCATATTGATCCAACTTTGGATATTGTCCTCAGGCTGGACTTCCTTGTTATAGATTTTGCCTATAATATGTGAGTCTAGGCCACATTGGAAGTATAGAACCTGCTTCTTTTTGGAGATGTTGGCATTGGTAGCAATTAAGATAAATTGGTTAGAGTACTTATCAACTATTATCTTTTTTAAGAGAAATCCATGAGCATACTTCACGCTGATGAGCATGGGTATGCTCTAGGCACCAATACCCCACTTTTCGCAGCTTTTCAGTATTCTTTGACTATTTGGCACACTTAGGACTGACCGATCCCGATCCGTTTGGCAATCTCAGCCATTTGTCAGGTGCCGACTTTCTATTTAGACCTCCGCACAGTCATTCGGAGCTGTTCACTGTCATCCTATCCATCTATCATCACTCTTAGCAGTAGGGGCTTTCCACAGACTGTCGCGGCCGATTGCCAATTGGTTTGGTACACTTCACATGGTCAGCACATTTGGTCGGCTTTGGTGTCCTGAATCGGAGGTGGCCGAACACTTTTTTGACTCAGAATGGATCTGTCTTTCTATTGCTTATTGTCCTTATGCCTTTTGTTGGCCTATCCTTCATTATCTTCAGAGCTCCCAAGTTTCTAAATGGTTTACCCATGTGGCATGTGGTTCTTATCTCCAGGTCCATGTGCACTTACCTTGGCAATCTCTCCACTTATTTAGACTTTAGAGTTATTGCTTCTTATCTTATAGTGTTTGCAACATCACTCCCTTATCTTCTTTACCTTTGATCACTCTTGGCACGCATTTCCGATTGCTCTATGCCTCTGCTGATCTCCCTATCTTGTATCTGTTTGAACTCACTATAAAGGGTACCTATGGCCTTGCAACACATCAGCTTTGGCTCCCCCTTTGTTCAGATTCCATTTGTGCGCTTGTGTCTATGAGACTTTGAGCCATTGCCTTCCGATCCTTGTTCGCATTTTGCCCTTTTGTTTGTGTTGTTGCGTTTGATCGCAGCCCTCCGTCAGAGCCCTCGTCATCTTGCTCTTTCCCTCTTATCTAGTTTGTCATCCTCTGCCAGTGTCCAGTGTGGCCTTG